CAAATTTTATAAAGTATGATAACAGGGCTTTACTAACAATTCTATAGTGTAATAAATTATTTAATTTGAATTAATTAGCAGCTTTGTTGCGAAATTGCTGAAAAACCAGACTGTTTTCACAACTTATTACATGAGGTCGTCGTGATTCAGTGTGCCCCAAAACTCCAACTACCCCGATTACCCTGACTACCCGCAAAACCCAGGTAAAATCCCTGGGTATGGGTTTACAAAAGCAAAACCCCGGGGTTCTCCTTACCCTAGAAATAACTTAAAAATAATTATTGTCTCCAATCATCCTCTGACGAAACAAAAAAAATGTGAATCTTAAATTTTGCACAGTTGCATAAATTTATGCAACTTTAACTTGATAAAGTTATAAAAGTTGAGTGAATTTGACGTGAACTCTCAAAATTTTTGGTACATAGCAAAATCGTCACCGTATATATTTCTGTGTATTTTGGGTTGTTCAGGAAATTTTTCATCTTTGAAAAAAAATTTTTACCCACGCATTGCCACGAACTTTTCCCGTACATTCGAAGTTTGGATGATTTTAATTTTTAACTGCAATTTCCCACTTCTAAGACCTGCATCTCAATGTTATGGTGGTGGTTTTTTTAAAGCAATTATCTTCAGTTCACCCATGATAAAGATTTCATAGAAAAACATTAACAGGATCAATAATTACCTATAACTGATTTTGTCTCGAGCGGGGGCCGAAAAATGTATGTTACAAGATTAAATTTACTCCCTTTACGTCATCAGGCACATGACGTAAAGGGTTTAAATTGTAGGTGATTTATGTGATTTATCAAGTTATCTATGTACAAATTATTGAAAATCTACGAAATTTACGAAACGAAATTTGTACCTAAAATGTGCATGTCCCAAAATTATTTTGTTAGGGATTCACCGCCGAATGAAAATTTTGCGAAAAAATTAATTACTTATTTATCTTTAGGTCCACGGACGTTCTAGGGTTTTTTGTTAAGCTTCATCAAAATCGTTTAAGTTACAATTTTTTTTACGATTAGTAATAAACTTAAAAAACTCACATTTGCACAATTTTATAAACTCATACAACTTTAACTTGATTAGAGTACCTGTAAAATTAGTGAAACTAGTTTATTTGGTAACAAAATCGTTACCGAATGTATTTCCAATGGTGAATTTTGTGTCGATTTTCAAAGTTTATCTGTACGTTTTAAATTTTGAAGTAAATATTTCTTTCGTGTGTTATCTTTTTACTGATGACTTTTGATATATTTACTGTTGATTCTGCTGAGAGAGTTGGAATCCAGAATCCATCGCCGATTTACATGAAAATCATTCAATTTTTTTCCCAATTCCAAACATAAAATTGAATGATTTTCACGTTGAAATAAAATAAATTGGTATTAAATAATTATGCGAGTCAGCTCATTCGGGTAATGTAAATCGGCGATGGATTCCAACTCTCTCAGCAGAATCAACAGTATGTTTCAAATTTTTAATTAATAATTTTTCGCTTGTTACGCGTTTAGGCAAAATAATTTTTTAAACAAACATCGACCAAAATAAGTTTCCGTGAAATAGAAATTTGGGAAGTAATATTTCTGTATATTTCATTCCGACGGTATTATCATAAACATTCTGACAGAGAAATAAATTTCGGTTTTTATACTTTCTTTACAATTTAGATAACCATTAACGCCATGAAACTAATTTTAAAAAATTTAGCTTCGTAAGAAATTTTTGAAGGTAAAGTTTTCGTTTGAACTCAAATTCATAAAACTTGATTTAACAACTTGTAAGTAAAATTAGTAAGGGTATCGAATTAAAATTATTGTGTAACACCGAATGCATTTCCAATGGAGAATTTTATTTCGATTTTTGAGCTTTGTCTGTATATTTTACATTCTTTCAAGTATTTCTTCCGCTTGTTATGCTTTTAAACAAAATCTTTTTAAAACAAACATCAACAGAGCGTAATTTACTTAAAGAATAAATTTCTGCATATTTTTATCCCGACGGCACTCTCGAACATATCGTAATCTGACAGATGAGTACCATACGGTTTGTACACTCAGTTTTACCTTTTGCATAGTTATAACCCCACAAGATTAATTTATAAAAATTCACATTATTAACAAATATTTTAAGTTGAGTTGGTCCTTAAATATAATTTATTTAACTTTTCTGTATGCATAACAAAATTTTTGGGAAGCTAAACTCAATTAATATTTTGTTCCATTAAGTTTTCATATCCCTTCTATCCTATTAACGAGGACAATTTGTATTGTAATTTTAATGAAGCAATTAACGCAATTGCTGGTAAATTTATAAAATCCGTAAATTTTGTAAAATAATTTTATAAAAGGACGAGACGCCCTTGATTTGAGCAAGTTTACAAAAATTTGTAAGCTAATTTACGTCAGAAATATTTGATAATTTTGTAAACTGTACAGAATTTACGGGTTTTACAAAGTCATCCAGGCCTGTGTGAATTATCTGATTAAATTCCAGCCAAGAATTATAAATTGTAAGACTTAAATGCCAAGCTTAATACGTATGATGATTGAGTTATGCAAATATTTATTTAAAGATTCGAATTTTCACATGTATGAAGTTTACGGATTTTACAAAGTTACAAATGACTGCGTGAATTACTTTCATAATTTTGATTATTTTATCCAATTTAAAAAAATTACCAGAACAGCGACCAAGTCAAAATACGGGAGAAGACTGAACGCCTGCTGATGCGCATTTTTTAGTCCGGCCAGCATTCCCAGCACTTTAATTTCTTGCCCGATGTATATGAATATTGTACTCGAGTTGTTCCTCTTCGCTGATCGGGAATCCGGAATCTTCCAGCCAGGCGTTCATGTTGTCAAAAATGTTTGACTAAACATTCATTTTCGAAATTGGCCACTGTTCAGCCAATATTAATGGTCTGAAAGGTTTCCTGGCAGATTATTTCATAATATTTTTTTAAAAAGCCAAAAAAAAATTCTAATGAATTAGTATCGGCTGAATAGTATTTTGTTGGCAACTTTTTTCTCAATATTCATGTTGCTGTGCTAACATGCGAACGTATAATGAATACACCCAATAAGTTTCCTGAAAAAAATAAAACTTTGCAAATTTAAATATCAAAAAAATTTACTTTGGTAAAATCCGTGTATTTTGTAAAATAATTTAATATATTTGGACAAAGTGAAGAGACACCCCTAATCTGAGCAAGTTTACAAAAATTTGGGGATAATTTTCCTTTCAGAAATGTTTGTCAAATTTCATAAAAGTTTGTAATTTTACAGAATTTACGTATTTTACAAGGTTAACAAGTCCTACGTGAATTACTTCCTCATTAAATTATAAGACAAAGTTAAATGCCAAACTTAACATTTATTATATTTTAGTTCATTAAACATATTTTATTAGATTAGTATAACACTTGATGGTTAATTTTTCAAAATTTGAAACTTTGTTTCTCTTACTGCAGATACAAGTTAAAAAATTCTTTGGCATTGATTCTTTATCGTGATGACCACGATATATACAGCTAAATTTTTTTGGAGAACTTACTCAGAGAGTGTTTTTACGTTGAAGGTATGTAAAATTATTTTACAAAACTTCCGAATTTTACAAAGTTGCCAGGGACTGCCTAAATTGGCGTTGTTTTTGTTAAAGAGTGTATGGTAATTTTACAAAATTTACACAGTTTAAAAACATTAGAGTTAAGTTACAAATATTTCTATATTTCTGAGGAAAATTAGCTCACAAATTTTTGTAAACTTACTCAGATCAAGCACGCCTTTTAATTTTGTAAAAATATCTAAAATTGAGTTCATACAAATTGAGTTGATACAAATTACTGCATGAATTGTGTAAACTTTGGAAAATTACACGGTGTAATATTTCACATACCAGGTCGATATGACACATAACCGTTTTTCCTGCTGCTCTATACAGCCAGATGACATTTAGTGGGAGGTCATAATCTACATATGAAGACGAAGTCCCCTCCCGTTTCGACAAAGGTGGTCACTCCGAGGAGGTAATCCAACGAGTAACGCTACGTTTAAAGTTCAACTTTTAACTTTACTCTGACCTGAGCGTTCCCTTGCCATGCCGATGACTTTACCCATGTCAATTTTAAGTTCGGGCCAAAGTTCAATGACCTCGAACTTTCTCTTGACAAAACTTTGCTTTTCCTCCACAACTTGAAACATGTCCACTTTTCGAAGTTACATATTTTAATCTAGCAAAAATGGCTCCGTCTAAATTATTAAAATTACTAATTTTACGACAAATTTGTAAAAATCGACGCCGCCGTGAACGAACAATGTACATCCGGCAAATTTTTCGTAATCGAGCGGTGAATGGAGAGTCATTTCTTTTTGAGAACTGAAAACGGACCCAGAATATCATCATCGCTATTTCAGGTGACATTTTTCTACAAAACTATTGTTTTTAATAATATTACTCGAAATAGAATTCCAACTAAACTTATTTATAGGATGAGCAAAAATAATTTTGATGAAATTTTGAACACAATTAAACACGAGATTGATAAGAGAAGAAACCATGCTTTCCCAATTCCTCCAATAACGAGATTGGCGATGACTTTGAGGTGGTCCTATGCAATTAATATGCGTTTGTTTGTGTATTTAAATGTATGTATGAAATTTGACATCAGATATTTAGCAACAGGGAGTTCACAAATTTCACTTGGGCTCAATTACCGGATTTCACCTTCTTCCGTTTCACGAATTCTCCGCGAGACTCTTGCAGCAATTTCCGACAAAATGGGTATGCATATTATACATAAAATTCGAAATCAAAATATTTATTACAGACTGACCCAAAGAATATCTATGTAGGTTCACAATTCCTTCCGGTTCCAAATAAAGAAAAATTCTTATCCGTGGCGGAGGAGTTTGAAAACAAATGGCATTTTCCTCATGCATGTGGAAGTCTGGACGGGAAACATCAGGATCAAATCCCCAAAACGATCGGGATCAATGTGTTTCAACTACAAAAAATTCTACTCTAAAGTCTTGTTTGCTGCTGCGGACGCAAATTACCGATTTTTAATGGTTGATATTGGCCGGGAAGGGTCATCCTCGGATTCTGGGATTCTGGATACGTCACCCATCGACAAATTCATAGAAAACGCTTCGTCGTACCTTCTTCAACCAGCACGTTTATCAAACGGTGTTGAACTACCATACGTTTTCTTAGGAGATGAAGCATTTCAGTTGCAGCCTAATCTCATGAGACCCTTCCCAGGAAAGTACACTACGAAGGAATGCAGAATTTTTAATTATCGGCTATCCAGAGCTAGACTTGTCGTGGAAAACAGCTTTGGCATCTTATCGGCGCGGTGGAGGATTTTTCACTCCTGTATTGATGCAGATGAAGACTTGATTACACTAATCATTCACGCATCTGTGATTCTGCATAATTTTTTGATGGAAAAGTGCGACTGGAATGGAATTACTGCTGATCGCGACACGGCAGAAGGGTTAATTCCTGGGAATTGGAGAACTTCGACCCCCGAAGATTCAATTTCGAAGTGTGTCAAATCTTGGGAGCAATAACTTCAAAAAAGATGCGGCAGCAATTCGAGAAGCTTTTAAAGATTTCTTCATTTCCGAAGATGGTGCTATTTCATGGCAGGAGGGGCGTGCACTTAGAGGATATGAATAGATTTATATGTATTTCTGCTTATTATAGAATGAAAGTTGCTTGTAAAATGTTGTAATAACTTACGAGTTTTTTATAAAAGTAAACAACTTTTTGATTGAAATCTATGAGGACAACGTTAATTTGTGGAACATTTAAAGTATTTTAGAAATTAAGGCAAGTATAACTGCTCATATTCATGAACCAGCTCGTGAAGCTTTAGTTGCAATGTTGATGCCGCTTTAGAATTGGTAGTTGCTAATTTTCTCAATTTAGATGCCATAGCCAAACCAAATTGATCGTGCTCATCAGGCTTATGCTTCATTTCTTCTTCCTTCTAAAAGTCGTTCGTTCGTTCGTTCGTCTATCGTTCTAAAAGTTTCGCTTCAAATTCGCCAAGTGGTTTCCGCTTCTGTACAAAGTTAAATACGTCAATTTAATTACAAGTATTTATAATCAATGTTACAAATATCATTCTGGAATTGACGAATTATTCTTCCCGCAAACTTCTGATGGACTCGAACTGTCCCGTTGTTTTGAGTTTCAAACTCCTTCTCGGTGGAGGCAATCAAATCTTCAACGGTACCAAGAATCACGGAATCTGCCGGCTCAGTGTCAACGTCGATCACATCATGACATTTCTCGTCAACTACAGCTACGCTGCAAATTCTAACCCACAAATAAATACATAAATAAATAAATACCACCAACAAATATTTAAGACAGAACGTGGTAGAATTATACCGTTTACAGTCACCAGGCTTATCAGCACAAAATGACATCAACTCAGAATGTCGAAAATATGGTGCAGCTTTGGCACCACTGCCGGTGGGATTTTCCAATTTGCGAAGATACTTGCAGTGCTGGTTTTTCAAGTTGTTCCAAGTGTCCTTACATTTTTTTTCTGTTAGATATATTATCAATTTTAATTGTTTTTAATTTGTATAAAGAAATAGAATACAAAAAAAGTAATAATACCCGTATAGTCTGCGTCCTCCATCAATTCGCATATTTTTAGCTAGGCTAGGTCCTTTAATTTGACATTGCGATAGTCAACATGGCTTTTGTCGTAGATAACCGGACGTTGTTTAATAAGTCCAATTAATTTTTCTTCACGCAGAATATTTTTTGAGCAATTTTCGACATTTTCGTCAAACAACAATTTTTGTACCTTCAACTTTCCTCTCAGAAGTAGAACTGGATCCTACTTTGTAAAGTACCCGCAAAGTCGAGGAAAGGTCAGGGGAAAAGGAAACTTAAAATGTTCTTAAAAGCAAAGGCAAGGCAAAGGATTTATCCGGGGAATGCTTTTGCTTTTCATTTTTGACTTTAAACGCCAAAAGTGAAAGTTCGAGGGAAAAGGGAGCGTAAAAGTCACGGCAAATTTGAACTTAAAACGTAGCGTAAGGGCCACGACCAGGTCTAGGGAATAATGAGAAGGAGGATTATTCCCAAAATTAATAAAGCAATTGACGAAATCATTGGTAACTTTATAAAGTCCGCAACTTTTCCTAAAATAATTATACATATAAACCTTTACAAAATATATAGAGACGCCCTTGATCTGAGTAAGTTCACAAAAATTTGTTAGCTAATTTTCCTCAGAAATATTTGTAGAAGTTTTGAAGTTACTGGATTTTAAAGTTATCTAGGACTGCGTGAATTGTCTCAGTGTCTGCATTTTCTGAAATGTATGTTATGTAATGAACTGAAGAATTAGATGAGTTTTGACGCCAAGAAAAAAAACATTTTTAATTCGATAGTTTCATTATTGAATTTTAGATTGATATTGTGGTGCATCGAAGTAAACGGGACAGAATTTCTATGCGCCAAAATCACGTGCCCACTTGATTAACATTGGAGCCGGGCTGAAATTCAAATCAAATCTGTCCTACTTCGAGAATTCACAATAGTAAGGTGCCATGCCGATTAGAAACTTGATTATGAAATACTTTGAAAATTTTGGGCAACTATGTAAGTTTACGAGTTCTACGGATATTACAAAGTTACTACTTAAATAAAATTATAATAATTACTTAAATAAAATGTGATCTACACACAATTACTATGCGGAAGTACTACTTCTTAGAATTACTATTACTTTTCTGGATATTATTAAGAATTGGAAAGTATCGACGCCATTTGGGATATGGAAACAATGGAGGGGACTGAAATTAATCTGTTCTAATTATAAAATTAATAAGTTATTTTAGGATAATTTTTTTGTGCATTTGTTAAATTAAGTTGTTGCCCTCCAAAGTAGATGAGTTAATTTGAGAAAATTTACTATTTCCAAAATTATGTTCAGATGAAAGGGCTGAGCTGAACCAGACCAAGCGTACTACAAAACTCTTTTCCATATTTAGCAGAAGCAGAGTGAGACTCGGACTCTGGTGGGTATCCACCACCACCGCTGACTGTCGATTCGATAGTGCCGTATGGTGGTCTGTCTCACGTGCAAATTGATGACCGGAAATATAAATTCAAAAAAGCTTAAGTTTTAAATTTTGGGCGAATTGGTAATCCAGCATCACAAATTTTAATAACTTCAATTATATGTCTCATTTTCTCATGAGTGACAATAGTTTGTTACGGCTCTTGCAAAAATAAGTCCCTCCCCCAGAAACTTTGACCCAAAAAAACTCATGGTTCCCACACTTTGCAGTCTGACAACAAAAGCTTAAAATGTTCGTCTTTCGAAGGAGAAAAATCTGGCATTAGATTGTCAGACTGCAAAGTGTGGGAACCATGAGTTTTTTGAGGATTTGTATGTACGTAAAAAAACCGCGAATTTTCAAATTTTGAAACTCGTGATGCATAAAAATGTTGGTATTCAAGGGGGAATTAGAATGTCAAATACAAGTCGATGTCTAATTCTTACTGTACGCTGTATACATTGAGTTTCTCATTTTTTCAAATTTTATTCCCCCATTTTTGGAGGGGGGTTAGATGCACATATTTCAAAAATCGTTATGTTATATATATCCTTGCACCAGGAATTCAATTTACAATTTTTTAAATTAAATTCGGCGACATCGACGCGAAAAGGATTTGCACAGTACACTTGGTCTTTATCGGCTCTAGTCCGAAATTACTCTGCTGTTCTACATATCTTCAATTTCATCAGTGTAATTTTAGATACAACAACTAAATTTGCAACTCATCGGAGCAGAGAATATGGTGACAAAATTCTTAAAGTAGTCAAACTCCCATTCTTTCATAACATTTATGTCAATCTAACACGGTCATCAATATTTTTAAGGGGCACATTATTTTGTATGTTTGTTTAGTTATATAAGTTCTGCAACCATATAATGCAGATTCGACAGTAGTTTTCGCCACAATGGGCTATATCTGCACGATTTTCATAAGTTATAGGTTTTTCCAATCCTTTCCACTTTTGGACAAGAACTTCAAGTTATCTCATGAAATTTTGAGAAGCTTCATCAAAATCATTAAATTTACAAAATTTTTTAACGTTTAGTAATAAACTTTAAAAAAATATCGTCCCAAATCATCATTTGACGAAACAAGAATTTTCACAATTTCATTAATTCATGCAACTTTAACTTGATTAGAGTACCTGTATAATTAATGAAGCTAGTGAGTTTAAGATTATTTGGTAACAAAATCGTTACCGAATGTATTTCCAATGGAGAATTTTGTGTCGATTTTTGAAGCTTATCTATACGTTTTACATAAATTTGTAAGTAAATATTTCTTTCGTTTGTTACCTTTTTAAAAAAAATTGTTACGACAAACATAAACGGAGCTAGTTTACTTAAAAAATAAATTTCGGCATATTTTATTCCGACTATTTTTACAATGTCTTTTACCTTTTACATAGTTATTGACGCCACAAGATTAATTTAAACAAATTCAGATTGCTAACAAATATTTTAAGGTGAGTTGGTCCTTAAACACAAATGATTTAATTTTTTCGTATGCATTGCAAAATTCTTGGTAAGTTGGCAGTACATTATACGTCATCAGGCACATCAAGTTCTTTAAAAATTGTTGGCAATCTAGGAAATTTAAGAAATGAAATTTCTGCATAAAATATTATCAAATAATTATCAGGCACACCAAGTTATCTAAATTTATTTTTATTTTATTTACCAAGTAATTAAAAATTTGTTGAAAATCTACGGAATCCACGAAATTTACGAAATTTATGAAATTTACGAAATTTATGAAATTTACGAAGCGAAATTTCTGTGTAAAATGTGCATCTGTCTCAAACTTATTTTGCTTAGGCTTTAACGCTGAAGATAAATTTTGTCAACAAATTAATGCAAACTTTTCTTTAGATTTTCTTTTCTGCAATTTGGAACTAATCAGAATTTTGAGTTTTCAAAATCGTTAAAGCTGTCAAAATTTTTAACTTGTAGCAGAAAAACTTCAAAAAATAATCGTCACAAATCATCACCTGACGAAACTAGAAATTTCTTAAATTTTACAGTTTCATAAATTCATGCAAGTCTAACTTAATTTGAATGTCTATGAAAGTTGAGTGAATTTGATGTGAACTCTCGAAATTGTCTGGTAGCATATTCGTGAGCATATTTTATTCCCATGAGTCGATTTTTGTAAGTTGTATTTCAAATTTTGAATTAAATGGTTTCTAAATTGTTATGCATTTAAGCAAAATATTTTTTTTAATAAAACTTAACCGAAATTAATTTACATAAAAAATAAATTTTAAGAAATAATATTTCTGTATATTTTATTCCGATAATACAGATGAATAAATTGTAGTTTTTATTCTTGGCGTACTCACGAAAGGTGTGATTTCGCATAGTAATTCATTTAGCAAACTTACGAAGATTAAAATATTTCTGTCGTGGGAAGATTCGCAGCTAATGACTAACAATGCAAGTCTTTTACGTGTACAACTCAGATCTGGTTGGGACCA